GATAAGGTTTTCCCAGACGCAGCAGAGTGTATTTGTTCGGCTTGAAAGATAGGAGCCATCTGCGTGACCAATCGCTTAATCGGCAAAGATTTACCTTGAAGCCATCTACATTGGCAGTATACCTGTTGACATTTCATATTTTTACATCACCTGCAAACATGGCACACTCCCAGTCCAAATCTTGTACACAGTCTTCAATGAACAAGAGAAAGGGTCATTTCGAGTACAGAAAATTAAGGGACATCACTCTCCATGACTGTCTGCCCTGATCGCTGTTGTCCTACACACAGCTTGGGAACGACTAGCGAGGTCATTCTCAATCCACCTAAGAATTTTGCATTCGATACCTATTAGTGTCAACTTATGCCAGAGACGTTGGTGTGGAACACTGTCGAAGGCCTTCTGGAGATCAATGTAGTGTGTGTTTCACGATATGTTATCAATTTCTTTTTGATGACCTTTTCTAATACTTTGCAGTCTATGGAGGTCAGTATAACAGGTCTGTAGTTGTTCGCCAGATCTCGAGCTCTTTATCCGTTCTCATAACAGGAATCTGCTCTTCCATAAGTAGCTATATAGTTACTTCGGATTTTTGTCTGCTCCATAAAGCAAGTCAAATTCAAAGTCCCGTCGCCTTTAAAAACCAACCTTTTCTACCTTGTTGCTCGGGATTTTTTATTCTTCGAAAGCTTCTTCATGATTTTTTTCTACCAATGAACTCGGTTGGATATCTGGGGCACTGAAAGTGGACGATGACTTTGCATTAGATGCAACAAACGCTTCGTAAATTTTTTCCAAAGACAGCCCGAGGACTAAAAAATATAATTTTTCTTTGATAATATATGCTGCGTACGCCTGATGACCGTATTTGCAGTTGCATACCGTACGCCTAAGTCATATAAGCAATGCAACAGCCTTCGTCCTAAAACACCATATAAATCCTTATTAAAGGGGCAGCAATACAACGGTCGCGATCTTATGGCGTCTCAAGATGAGGAAACATCCTAGATCTAAAATATATCCTGCATGGACTCCTGATGATCACATTATGACGGCCTGCAATGATTCATATTATACCAGGCTGGCGCATTAGAAAATAAAAGGAGTGGTTGATTTTCTGAAGGAAGCCAACCATCTCGCCAAATTAAACTGCATTTTATGCAAAGTAATGAAACGACAAGTTAAGAGGCACTTAACTGTATATTTGGAGCATAAGAAACTACCTCTTTTGAAATGTTCGGCTGTGCCGCTGCATTTCTTCACAACAATGTACCAATGAGAGTTCGAAGGCGTTTGTCTATGCTTCTCTCAATAACATTGACTCGAAGATGAGTGGAAAGCTGGAATTCAGTCGTCATCGCTTCCTCGATATTTTCGAGGAATTGTATTTTTGGACTTGACTGTTATGACGTCGTCTTTTCAGGTCATATATAAATTTTGAGATAATCAGCTATTATTATGGCGGACAGAAAGCACAAAAATGTTGATATTCTGGAGGCCTGTCACGCCAAGCCGGTATATACTTTTATGAACCATAAGGCTTAACTTGAAATCTGGTGCGGGTTATTTGCAGAAGCAGCAGTATGGCACAAATGAAATCTGCCTAAAGTGAATGAGAGTAGAGGACAGAAATATATATTGTAGTTTTCCCTGTTATTGACACAATAAAAAGAATAACTGGTTTTTACATGTTGTTTTCCTGACCCACTGAGGCGATCGTTTGTTTTAACCTACCAAGGTCACGTTCCTGGTTTCAATTTTTCAGCAATCGAGGCAATGAACTATCCAGGCAGCCTGCGACAGTCAATTTTGTGATTGGACGACG